AGGTTAGTTAGGTTTTCTTGTCTTCTAAATGTGGAGTGTGTGGTGGTGGTGTGTGTTCCAGCAGCTGTGGGTAGCCGTGGTCTGCGGAATCAGCCAAAACTTCAGCAGGCAGTGACTGCTAGAGAGCTCCACACACCTAGTGTGTCCCAGGACACTTCTCCCAGAGTAAATACTCTTTTAAGTGAAATGCTTCTACTGTGGAAATGTAAGGAGTGCTTTTGGGGAGCTTTCCCTGAAAACCCATGCTTGGGAGTAGCTTTGGAGGCAGGAGTGTGCTCAGTGCAGTGTTTTTCCCCGCCATGTGCTTCAGCACTTCTTCATTTTGCTGCGGCAAGCAGAAGAGCGAGCACGCTGCTGTCGTGGTGTCTCTGGCCTGACTGTCCCTCTGGCCTCGTGCAATTCCTGCCGTCTCAGCCTGTGAACTTCTCGTCAGGGCTAAAGAGAGAAACCTGGAATAAATGTTTGCGAGTCTGGAGTCTTGTCTGCAATGAAGCCTTTTGACTCCACCTCTTAGTGAAATCAGGTCAGTGGAAACTATTGTGAGCGAGCGTGTGCCAGGCTCCTCCACGGGATTACCTAAGGTCAGGCAGACTCTGCTTGAAAAATGTCTTTTTCTCTCATGGTGTTGGCGCTTGCTGGATGCAGCAGCCAGCCCGTGATCTGGGGAGGATGCCCACGGTGACCAACACCGACCTCATTGGTTCCACTGGCCTGAGCCTCTGGGCAAATTCATCACTTTGGGGCAAGGCATGTTTTAAAATGGCGTTAGCCGTTTTCGTTTGGAACGTTTAATTAGCGGCGTGAGGTCACAACACGTGTAAATGAAATTCTGTGTCTGTGCTGGTTTATAACAGTGGTGCTGAGGAGTCATTGTTTAGCACGTGGCTGCAAAACCGTTGGAAGGTGTTCAAATATGATGGAGTTCAGGTCCTTTAGGCTTCTTAAATGTGTTTTTATTTCAAATGCTTCCTTCCTAGGGGTAGATCTTTGTGGTTTCGTAGGTCTTCGTGGTTTGTATGTAAACGCAAGTATACTAGGTTGATTTTTCTTTTTAAATTCAACCTAATAGTTCATCCCCCTCTAATAACCTATGCATCTCTTGGAGAGAAGATTTATTGGAAATGTTATAGTTTTGTTAACTCCCTTTCTTTGTAGCACTACTGACTTTTTCCAGTGCAGTCTAAGGTTTAGAATATCGCTCTGTTGGAAAGAGTTGACTATATGTGATACGATTCTGTATTTTATGTATTAACTTCGTGTTTTATTGCTGTTTAAAATTAGAGCTTGCCTGAAAGACTGAATAGAAACAGCAATTCAATACTTTGGTATTGCCAAGTTTTAATAATCAAAATTCACATGTGTATTTAGTAAATAATGATACTATTTTTTCTCTCCCTAAATTAAATGTATTTTTCTTACCTAATTTGTAATACTGTGACAAGATTTGCATCCTGGTGTATTGCTCTGCAAATATGGAATTTGGTCTGTTTTCCCTAGTGGTGAGCGATAGGATGAGGGGAAATGGCCTTCAGTTGTGCCAGGGGAGGTTCAGGGTGGATATTGGGAAGGATTTTGTTACTGAGAGGGTTGTCAGCCATTGGACCAGCCTGCCCAGGGAGGTGGTTGAGTTGCTGTCCCTGGACGTGTTTAAGAGAAGAATGGATGTTGTGCTGAGGGACATGGGTTAGTGGCGTCAATAGGGCCGGGACAAAGGTTGGACTCAATGATCCTGAAGGTCTCTTCCAACTGAAATTGTTCTGTGATTCTATTTTTCATTCCAAAGACACAAAACCAGTGTTAGACTTGCCGTGTGTGTGTGTGCTGAGAGACTGGTGAGTCCCCAGGGAGGAGAGGGACAGGTGTGTGTGTGCAGAAGGTGAGGGACCTGTGCACCCCAGAGGGATACTAGAAGAAGGAAGAGCTCTGGTACTGCCGTTGCTTTGTGGTGCTCTGCCCTTTCCTGCGGCAAAAGCTTGGTCAGTGGGGGAGTGGGATACAGGTGAGAGAGCAGAAGGATGCTCCCTCTTGACCTGAAACCTAGAGGTGATGTGTAGCATGACGACGACAGGAGAGGCAACTGGAGGGCTCTCAGATGCACGTTGTGGGTCACCTGCCCGCAGTGTCAGCAGCGCCACTTTTGTCCTCACTTGTCTCCTCTGGAGTTGGAATTTGAGGGATGTCTGTCCTTTCTGATTAAACTGCACGAGAGGCTGACTATTCCTAATATAGGCTGAGAGAACCTCTCTTCTCTGTGTTTATACATTGTGGGACTTCGACACGAGCTGCGCTGCTGCTTCCCTGGGTTCACTGGCACATCAGGATTGTTTGCATTTTCTTCTCTCTGCCTTATGGCAGGGGCCCAGTTTTTCTAAGACGTGTGTCTAAATTTAGGCACTTAAAGGCGTATGGTTTTGGCCCTGAGCCTGAGGTTTAAAGTTACCCACTTCCGTGTTGGCACAGAGTGCTTGCTGTAAGAAGTCTACGCAACAAATTGAATCAATTTGAACGAAGCGTTAGCACTCACTCATAAAGCGGAAAGGTCAAGCACTGACAAAATAAAAATCTGTGTTTATTGCAGTAGAACTGATGGTTCACTGACAGCCTCTGTCTCTCCTAAGGATTAAAAAAAAAAAAAGAAAATCTGCTTTTTTGTCTGCTTAAAGGATTGGGAATTATGCATCTTTGAAAGCAAAGCTGAAGTTTTATCTGAATAGGAAAATCTACTTTGAGAAATAGGATGTTGAAGATAATGGTGAAAACAGCTTGTAAATAACTTTTTCTTGAAAGATGAATCGGAATAAATATTAGAATGATTGTTTCATGATATTGGAGTTTGGAGAGTGAAAAGTCATTGCTGAATTCTTCTGTTACTTTGCTGCAATCACTGGTTGAGGTGACCCAAGGAGAGCTGCTGTCCGAACTCTTACCTTATGGCTGTCTTCCAGATTTGTGCATTTTAAGCTTGTTCTGGATTTTATGTGCAAGCTTTCTTACTGATGTTTCAAGTGGAGACTGCTGAAGAGATAAAAATAGTTTCTGACAAAGCAGTTGGCCGATATTGTGTGTTCTCTGTTTTTTGGTAGAAAATGCAAATTACTCTGCCCATGCAGAATTACATGTGGACTCTTGAAAAGATCAGCCATATTTAGTATTGAAAAGGAAAAAAAGGAACATTCATGAAGGAAGAATGGCATTTTCCAGTGTTCTTGTGTTTGCAATGCTCAGCATATTAATCATCTTGAAAATCTGTTTGACTTAGTGGGATAATCATAGCACCATAGAAGAGTTTGGATTGGGAGGGACGTTAAAGATCATCTTGTTTTAACTCCCAAACAGATTACGATCAGTTTATTTTAGCCATTGGGTTTACATTTGATTGTAGCAAGTCTGTCAATGTAGTCAAGGATGATTCAGAATCTCTTGAAAATCTCTACAGAACATGAAATATTTAACTTATTTTAGACAGGAGATATCATTGAATGTTCTTCTTGCATTTAGAAGTCAGTGGGGAAGAGTGCTTGAACTAAGAAAAATGCCTCCAGCTTTTTCTAGAAAATATGTTACTCCAAATATTATATATAGCTCTTTGTTTTAAATATTATCTACATCTCATAAGAAAGTTCCATATACTAGTCAAATTCCATAAATAGCATGTACATGAACTCAAGCCCTTGTTGAACATAGCACCTATTCCTACGCTGCTGGTTTGCTTGGCCCCAAAGCTGCTGGGTGGTTGTAGTCTGTAAACGTAGCTCAGGAACTGCTGGCTTGTGTTTTTGGGAAGCTCCATGCCCAAATGCTCCCAGTTGGGTGGAACATCTTGGATGGACTGTCCACAAGACAGTTGCACAGCCACGAAGCAAGTGGGAAGCCGCTGTGCTGGCAGCTGTTCTGGTATCTGCATGCAGCCCTAGTTGATAGGGCTATTCATGTGGGGAAATAACCGTGTGCTTCTGCAGAACCTGCTTTTTTGTTGTTGTTTTGGGTGCTGAGGAGACAGGCAGTAGTTGAGTGAGAGCAAGAAGAGCCAGAGTTAGGTTACAGCAGCATCACTGTATTGTAGTGTTGCCTCACGTGAGGCTCCAGTTTGGTTTTTGCCTGAGAGGAGGCCCAGCAAACTGAAACTGCAGAAGCTGGTATTTCCTTGTAGCCTGATTTCTTTTGAATTACAATTTGCACTGCTGCGGGATAGGGAGACAGAAAATACGGCTTTGTGTGTAGATAGCAATTAAAAATTCCAGTGCAAGCTGCTGTGTTTTGAACCCAGGCAATCATCTTATGCCTGAGTTCCTCCTTCAGTGTTAATTGGATGTTTTCCACTTGTTGCTAATACAGTTATGCATTTTAAAGGGATAAAGACATTCAGTAAGAAAGTTGGGAATAATTTATATTACAAGACTGTAACTGTTCTGTTTCTATCTCTGTTATAGTCCGCTGATGATAATTACACAGAAGATCACGACACTTGCATGCCAGTTACATGATGGTAAGAGAAGGAATCTCTTCCCATGTCCCTGAGACAGCCTTTTTGTTCCAGCGCGTTCTGTGCTCGAGCTTTATGGAGTGCATGAGGGTAGTTCAGCAACTCGGTTGCATGAGTGTAGTTCAGTTCTCCAGCTGAAGAAGAAAAATACTCATGGAGGAAAATGAGAAACTTCAGGTTTTGATCAGTTCTCTAGGACTAAGCTGTCTTTGCAATAACAAAGATAACTGTTTCTCCCTTTGGGTGCTCTCATTCCAGGGGTCCCAATCTGGATGTTGACTAGCGCCAGTACCTGCTGTTTAGGTGCTACAGTGAGACTCTGTGAAGTTCTTGATTCTCAGAAATAAAGAGATGTGTTGGATACATAGGTTCAGTCATTAATGTTAATATGGTTAGTGATAATATACTTTGGGAGTTGTAAGAGATGGAATTTAATGGCTTTTTCCCAGTGCAGGCAGAAGCAGGCTTGCAAGCAAAATAACACTTTCTTGTGCTGCGCTGTGACAAAGAGCACTGTTCTTTCCCAGCAAAATGCCTGTGTCTAGCACAGTGCAGAGGCTGGAAAAGCCAATCGCCATCAGTACTGTGATCGCTCACGTCTACTGACGTTGTGGTGTGAATTTCTGACTGTCTGAGCCTCGTTGCATTGTAAGCCCTGGGCACCTGCACGGGTTAGCTCGTTACAGAGTTGTTTTAACGTAGGATTTAGGTGGTGGCTGCATCGCAGGCTCTGGCACTCTTAGCAAACCAGGTTTACACAAGTGGGTTTAATGCTTTTATCTGGTGTGAAGCTCAGCTAGCTGACCTTGCCATTGATGTGCATGTTGCTGGGGATTCTCTGCTTCTGTTATTTAAGCCAGCTCAGGTATCACTGTGTGCCGCAGGGGTGTGCAGCCTCGATGCGTGCCTAGAGCACTGGAGGTAAACAAAGAGCTGGAAAGGAGGGGGTAACAGCAGAGACAGGAGCTTTTTAAGCAAACCAGAAATCCCACAGAGTAATGATGGGTGGAAAAGGCTCATTATACTGTGAACATCCATGTATGGAGCAGTTAATCAGATGGAGGCAGTTTGGAGTTTGGGCAGCAGTGACAACTTATTAGTTGTAAAAATTTAACATAGCTGCACATAAAGGGAAATAGACAAACAAAGTAGTCAGCCCTTTAAGTAATCAAGTGCTTAATTGTCTTCCTGGAACTCACGCCCTCCCTGTATTTACAAACTCAAATAGCTGAGAGAGAATAGAAATGAATAGCTTATCAGCAGTCTTTTTAGGAAATGGGCCTTGTGTGTGTGTGTGTGGTTGTTAATTATGGCTGGTATGTTCAGAGCAGTCATGTTAATGGATGCCAAGCCCCCCCTGGTCTTGTGGATCTGGTGTTTATGCATGCTCAGCATCAAGCGCTGTGATTTGTCCCGTGGTGAGTTGTTCTGCTGAAGCCGGCGGGATTCCTCACAGTACATGCGGCTAAAAGCTTCGGAGTGCAGGTTTTTGAGATGTTTGCTATAAGCAACCTCTGTTTGCCCGCCGGCCGTCCTAGAAGAGTTTTCCATCGTTTTCCTGGAACAGTGATGTTGTGCTCTACCTCTGGCCCCAAAGGTTTTGTGCGCTCGACAGGAGGTCTCTCTTCCAGTCGGGAGCCCACTCAATTCCAGACGGTTGCTGACGGTTTGTGTTTAAGCTTGCTCCAGCAGCAGGTAGCCGGGCTGCTCCTTCACACCAGCGCAGCTTCTGTTCCCCGAGAGCCATGTTTCTCTTCCCGTGCCCCGCTCCTCCTGCTGGGAAATGCTCTATTTCTCACCAAGGAGCCTGCGGGAGGCTCGTGCTTAAATGAGCTGGCTGCTTCTGGGAACAGGTTTGTTTGTTTTTTTCCAGCTCAGGACTGTTGGTGGAGGCTGCTGGGGGTCACTGCTGGTTGGTGGCATTGCAAGTTGCATTGTGAGTGTGGGAATATGATGGCTGCTCTTCCTGAGAGCATAGCAAGGGTGAAAAAAAAGGGAATGAGGTAAGGACTGCATGAAGAGGTAGAGTAGAACGTGAATATATACAAGTTAGGAATTGAGCTGTATCTACAACTGCCTGTGACAAATTTTGAAGCTTACAGCTTTAGAAAACTATCTGTGGGATGCGAACATAAGGCTTTGGGGACAGCTTTCACTGTTCAGCTTTTGCCAAGACCTAATGCGAATTACTCTTTCTCTCTAGGAATAGGGCGGCAAGCTGAGGAACTCACCGCGGAGCAAAATCGGCTTGCTGTGAAGTAAGAATATAAATCCCCTAAGTGATTCGTGTCTACCTTCATCAAAGAAGTTTAGGGTTTAGGATTACTTTGGGGCTTTTTTTAAAATTTTGTTTTTGAACTTTGCAATGTCAAGACCAACTTAGCGGCCTGGCCATGAAAATGTTCCTTGCTTCTTCCCAGCCCATAATAAGCCAGAAGTGCTACCTGCCTTTTCTATTTGCTTGAGCAGTTTTGTTTTTCTAATGCTGCTGTCAGCGTCCTGCTTACACAAACGTAGCTGCTTTGTTTGTAGCTTCTTTGGTATATTCCTTATTTCTTCAGTCCAGGACTTTGGCCTTTATCACACTGTGATGGTCAGTAAAGCACTGAAGTACTTGGCAACATCTCATTGACTTAAATATATACTTAATATATACTCCACATGCAACAAAACTGGTCTTTGCTGGATCAGCTCTTTCATATTCAGACTAAGACTGCACTGTATGAACTTCTTGGCTCTTGTCTTCATCCTCTGTGTGATGTGTTATTTTTCCAAGTAGAATACTCCTCTGTCAGCAAACCACCGTGTTCTACAAATCCTTTTTGGCTTGACTCTGACACTTCAAGTATTGCTTTTCTTTGCCATAATTTTTGGACACCGAAGTTTTATTTTTCCTGTCTCCCTCTGTAATGTGAGTACTCCTAGTGTTCTGTGGCTATTGTTATTTTTTCACAGAGAGATAGCATGTTGACCATATGTTTGAGCACCCTCTTTTTGTTTTTGTTTTATCTCTTAGTACAGGTGCAGGGGATTTATTTTTTATTCTATTTTACTTCTTTTAGAAGAATTAATGTTACAGAATTAGTCATACAACTGTAACTGTGTTTCACTATGAAGAGTTTGTTTAAGGCCAAGGAAATTATTTTTTTCGTTTTCAAGGCAAGAAGATTCAACCATCAGAAAATCTGCCTATGAGCTTCAAAAAGTAAGAAGGGAGTATCTTGAAAAGCAAAAATCCTTGTGCAACTTTTGCTGTGACCCATAGCTTGTGATTATTTTTAAAGCTCACAGCATAATGTTTCACTACACTGGGCCCTTGTGACCATAAGATTAATTCTAGTCAAATTCTCATCACACAGGCACTTTTTTCTCTTTTTATTGTTTTTTCTCAACAGTAGATGAGCTCATAGTAGAAAAGTACATGCTCAAGTGTTGGTGGCAGACAAGTCATAACTAAAGTTTTAAATCCACTTTGGTAGTACAGCCTTTTGTCTTCCCTCCTGTTCTTGGTCTGGTTTTGTTTCTCACTCATGCTCTGTACATTCCTTCGTGCATTGCTCATGTCTCCCCACCCACCCATGTGCACAGTCTAAATTGGAACTAATTGACTTGATTTTTAATCTTGCTGTAGAACTCAGAAGCCCAAATCACGGACTTGGTTTTGCAGAACAGAAAGATGAGCCTTGCCCCAAATTGTTTGCTGCAGCTTTCTGTGAAATGCTTTCACCAGAGAACATATCATTCAGGCACTAACATCTACAATAACCAGTGGCATGGATGCAGAAAATCCTGGCTAAGCCAGCTGTTTATTCAAACTAATTCCACTTCAGAATAAAAGTAGGCAACAGAAAAAATGTTTAACTGTTGCTTAGGGTTTTTTTTCTGTTAGAAATTTATGGCTTTGGTCTGTAAGGATTTTACATGGGTTTTGATTTGTGTGTGTCCATTCCTATCTCGGGCCGAAGGTTTCAAAATGCTGTGCCCCAGGTTCTGCCCTTATCTGGGGACTCTTCGATGGTGACTGTGGGCACATTTGTGGAGAGCACTGTGTATCTCCATGCGGATTTTAGATGCTGGTGTTTTCTGCAGCATAAATAAGACAAGCCCAACAATTTACAAACTGCACTAGCAGCAAGAAGCTTACGTCTCTTTTCCATCCTACTGATCTGTAGCAAGGGCAGCGGAACATCTTAATTTTACATCTAATATAAACTTCATGCAAGGAACTTGTGGGGATATGTGCTTGCAAAATGGAAATAAGGAGCATAGGGAACTCATCTTTGACTTTCATCTTCAGCTGTCTTTTGATTTATATGTTTTCCCCCATTTGTTCCTCTTCATGTCTGTGATGCAATACAGGCAATTGCTTCCTTTATTTGTGCAGTAGCACAACATGCCCCTTCATTCTCTTCCTCCACGTCTTGCGTCACGCTTTCCATTCTTCAAAAGGCTCAGCTGAAACGGGAGGGTGAGAACTCCTCTAGGGCCTGAGAATCATGGTCTCCAATGCTCTCTGCCTCACGATTTGAGTGATGAGGCTCGGTGAGACTGTGCCAGCCATTACCTGTCCCTGACACGCTGGGCAGGTGTCCAAAAACAATCAGCATGTTCTCACTCCCGGTACTGCTGGCCTGTTCAAAACAAGCAGAGTGGGTTTGTCTGAGAGTTGGTATTTAAGACTGAGTTTAACTAAAACAGTCCTGAGGGTAAGACTGAAAGTTTTCAGATCGATAGCCTTGGTCCCCACGTTGATTAAGGCACTTCCACATCCCCAGGGTTCGGAGTGCCATCTGCCAGGCGTCGCTGGGATGTGAGAGAGGCTGTGCTTTGTCTTCTCCAGCACAGACCTAGCGAGCTTTCAGCTGGGGCAGGGGGTGGTGGTAGCAGAGACTTGGGGACTGAGGCAAATTCCTGAAAGCCTTTGCTGTGTTTTACCTTGTCTTGCTTTTTTTTTTTTCACCCCCTATTTTGTTGTGTATGGATGATCTTCACAGGACGAGACCTTCTTTATTGGAGTATTTAAGCTATCTCCTCAATTTTATGAGCATCATAGCTGGGCCTTGCAGCAATTACAAGGATTATATAGCCTTCATTGAAGGGAGGCATGTGCACATGAAACTATTAGAAGTGAACTGGAAGCAGAAGGGTTATGACAGACTTCCTGATCCTTCTCCAACTGTAAGTTTTAAAATGACAAGGATTTATTGCAAAGGGTGGGAGAGTACAGCTTTGTACGTGATTCTCATAGTTAAAAACTAAGAAAACCCATTTTAGATTATCTTTCCAGTAAATGTTAGTGTGGGTTGTTGTTTTTTTCTGTGAAGTAGCTGCTGTTTTTATCACGGGGTCAGGGGTGAAGGGGCTAGGGTCTTCCTCTTGAATTCCCCAAATGCAGTTGGCTTGCAAAATGGGTCACTGGTTAGTGGGTGTCCTTTGTGCAGCGATGGGAACGGTTTGCAGGTTCTGACAATGACGAGTTGCAGTTCAGCTCCAAACAGAAGAGGAAGTGTCGGGGGGCGGGGGAGGAAAAGAAAGTCAAATTTCACCCATGGTGCAGGGGGATGTTAGAAGTGCGTGAGCTAGGGCTTATCAGAAACTGTAGCTTGTCCACGTTCTTTGCAAGAGAATTTCACGCTTTAAGATGACTTGGAGGTCATTTGCCACATACAATTGGCGCTAATTTTATTTTATACTTCTTAATATTACCCAAGACCTTAAAAAATGACCTTCTTGTAAGGCAGGATGACCACCAGATTCCTCTCTCTTACGTTAAGGCAACACTGAACCTGTAGCTTGGCGAGTGTGTGCAGAATGTCTCCTCCAAGACCGAGTGTGTGCCTGCCCAGCCCTGATTCCTCTTGCACATGGTTGTGTTTTTACTGGTTTCAGTGATGTTGCTTCTGGCCGAGGTCAGAATGAGGCCCATATTGTGCTAGATGCAAATCAGCAGAGAATATTAAAATTTGTGTTGTGACCATTTACAGATAGTTGCGCGTTCGTTTATTCCTGAATACAAAGAAGGTATGAAAAGGGCACTTGGGATCAAGTCCAAATTGTTGTTTCAGTAGTATATTGCACTTTTATTAGTCTTTTGAGAACACGAGTCGACTTTTACACAGCACACAGGTGCCAGATTCACCTTTTTCATTATGACTGTATGTCATGGTTTAACTCCAGGTGGCAACTAAGCACCATGCAGCTGCTCATGCACTTCTTCCTCCCCCTTGGTAGGATGCAGGAGTCTCTTATGAAGTTCATCACCAATTTTGACTTAAATTGTCCTTTGTACCCATACATAGGTAGTTCAGTAAAACAAATTAAATCAAAGCTTTGATTGTGGCCTTTTTTCTCTTACCTGTTATAAATTAATCATCAGCTTTGGCACTGCTATCTTTATTGGTTCTTGAAGCACATTTTGTATGCCATGAGTACTGCCTTTCTGTTTTTCCCCTCAAGCAAATGTTTCTAATTAACATCTCCTTGTTGTTTGTGCTTTTTTTAGGGAGCAGTGATGTACAAGCTGTGTATCACACTAGTATCTCTCATTTTATTCTTGACTCTTACCAAGAACTTTCCCATGGCATATATTATTGATAATGAATTTCTTGATAAAACACCTTTCTTGTCAAGACTTGGTTACCTGTACGTTGTAACGCAGGCAGCAAAACCAAAGTATTACTTTGCATGGACGTTAGGTAAGTCTAGCTGTATCTCTTACTTGCATAGATAACAATTAAGTTCATAAATGGAGGAGAGGATCTGAAATGTTGTGCAGGGAGGGGGAGTAAGTTATTCCCTAGGCTTGTAGCTCTTGTGGGAGATGCACATGTATTCATATAGTTGGTGGACCCCACTGAGGTGGGGAGATGTCAAAAGTTTTGAAAAATGTCCATAAAATCTCTTCTAGCCGGTCTGACACGCCCTACTCCTGGAACCAAATCTGCTTTTCAGCTTCTTGCCAGTAAAATCAATTCAACAATTCCCTCTTAAAACTTCACACCAAAATAATCTTTACAGAAGTTCTTAAAGGGAGGAAAAAAAGTTTGCCTCCTTTAAGTCTTGAGTTTTATGCTATATTCATAATTTGCTGCTTATATTTGAGGTTGGGAGGTTAAAATTGGTCGCGCTGGCTCCTCTTGCTTTACAAGTAAGTTCCAGTGTAAACAGTGGGATCCAATGTGAAATTGTTGCCTCTGTTTTTTTTTTTTTTCTGGCATTATAGTTAGCCAAAAGCCCGTTATCAGAGAGAGCAACTGAACCGGGGTTTGTGACACGGCTAAGCGGCAGAGGCTGTCCAAATAGCTTATGTGGTGCTCTGGGAAGAGTGTGCATTGCGTACTGGAGGGCACGGTCTCTGTCATTCCCATTGCAAATCCAGGCAGCAGAACAGCAGACACTTTATCCTGTCCCGGTTTAGCTGCCGGTGGCGTGGCCTGGGGAGTTACAAAAGCGCCTGCTGGAACCACCCTGATAAGCACTTTCTGTCCCCGGGAAAGGACAGTCACGCTATTGTGCGAGAGCCACGCTGCTGAATTCCTCCTGATCCGCGCAAAGACGGAAAATTCAGCTTGTTGCCGCGTTAGCGACAGGCGTGGGAACGCGGCTGCAGACGGTCCTCGGAGCTGTTGATGAAACCTGTTTGGGACCGAGTGCTGTGAAGGCCCTGAAGCCAGGCCTGTTGGAGTCACTGGGGCTTGGCCTCAACCTGGGGTGTCCTGAGGACTTTGCGGGGAGGCAGCTGCGGTTTTTCTGCGCCTCGCTCTGCGGCTCAGGAGGTGTGAGGCTGGCAGGGTCTGCTGTATCATCACGTGCCGGAGTTCCTGGTTTCTTGCTCTATAATTATAATTTCTCTATAATTTCTTTGGCAAAGAACCCCCGAGCGGTCCCTGCCACTGTGGAGCAGCGAGGAGGAGCTGTCACCCTGCTCTGGGGGTGACGTTTAGGTGCAGCTTCAGTCTCTGCTCTCAGGAGGGTCCCGTGGGCCTCGTGGCTTTTTGCTGATCTTGTAGCAAGATGCTGGTGGGCCATAAAGTAAATACGATTTCAGGTGGGGTTGGTTTTCTTTTGTGCTGTTATGGTGGGAGTTTTTTTGTGTTTTTAAAAGGGAAAGAACAACTCGGAGACCTTTCTTCAGTAAAAATCTAGCTGGTTCAGTAAAGTGCAAAATGAAATTGAAAATTTCAGGTTATAAAAACTTGCTCATTTATTTATTAACTTACTGTTACTCCTGTTGCTTTTAATTAGATTCTTTCCCATGTGCTTTGGGATTCCTCTGTGAGTTTGTGCTTGACATTCATAGCACTCGGGAAGCAAAATCAGTTTTCGTTCTTGGGAAAGAAGCCCTGACCTTTTTAAAGCATAATTTAACCCGACTTGTGTTTTGTAAATGATCTAGGAAGGAGAAGACTGTCCTGTCCTTCCCCTTTGCTCTTTCTTCCAATAATCCTTGGTGTTGACTACACGTAGTGATCCAGAGGAGGCGAATCCCTCCTGTTTTCTGAGTACAGTGGGAGAGGATTTCTGGCAGGGGCAAGATCCTGAGACCCAGTGATGAGATCCCAGACAAGGTGGAGGAAGGAGGTAGCTGACCCAGGAGAGAGTGAGTGAAGAAGTGTCCCACTGTTACTCAGGCTTCTATTTGCACTTAAAGTAGTTAAGTCTGTAACTGAAGTAACTTGATATTTGATTTGTGGAGGTGGTGAGGTACTTAGGGAGTTGCTGAGCGAAAGGCTGTGTCTGCACAAGTGCGAATGAAATTCTTAATTAACACAGCCGTGGTGGAACTCTTAATAGTAATGGTAAAGGTGTCTTTGAGACATTATGTGTTTTGCTAAATTATGCAAATGCTGTGACATCCAGCTACCTTTTTGAGGAAAATGCAAATTTATTTTATGGCAACTCTTCTACAGCTATACCTCAGATAGATAATAAAGGCAAAATAATGGGAAAAGCAATTTCTATCCGTGGCTGGTTTATTTCTGTTTCATTAGTGTTTTTCTTCTTCCTGAAGGAGTACCTAGCCTTTCCTCTTGAGGAAATAATTCTTGTGTTGCTTTAAAGCAATGCCCCTTTGCCAAGAGGAAGCTTCTCTTTGAAAGGGAGGATGCTGACTGCCACAAAGCTGTTTGATCGTGTGTTTGGTGCCATGTGGACTTGTAAGCAAAAGTGCCTCCTTCTCCTCTAGTCTGACTGGACCCATTTTGCTTTGCCATTGCAGCAGATGCAGTCAACAACGCAGCGGGCTATGGATTCAGTGGAGTTGACGAGAGGGGTGCCTTCCGCTGGGACCTCTTGTCCAATTTAAATATCTGGAATATTGAGGTGAGTTGAAGGAGTTGGCCACATAATTATAGAGAAAAGGACATGATAACGGGGAGAAGCTTTGCTGGCAGGAAAAGAAGTCCGTGCCACCAGGCTGCCCTGCATTAGCGTGGAGAGGCTTTGTGATTTATCTCTTGGGCAGATAAAAAGTGTCTGTTGTGCCGCCCTCATCCATGCTCTGTATTCAGGTTGCATTTCTAAGTAGTTTATAGAGGGCTAATAAATGATTAATCAGATGTTTAATAAATGAGCAGTCAATTACGGTAGATGGTAGGCGAGTTCAACGGGTCAATAAATTGCTTGCAGCTATGATTGTCCACCATCTGTGGTGTATTCCCTTTTCTTTACTTCTGACAGCTTTCTCCTTTTGTAACCTGGTTGAGACAGTGAAAGAGGCCACCACGAGCAGGGGCAGGATCCCAGCATGTGCCCAGGGTGGAGAAGAGCAAAGTTTGGAGAGGTGATGGGTACAAACTGAGCAACCTGAGGGGGGACACAGAGCTTAGCTGGACTGTTGGTCTAGAGCTCCATCCATCAAACCATCCTGTTTCTCAGAACCTCTGGCACACGTTTTTCTTGCTACTGCAGTACGCTTTTGATGTCTGTTAGTCTCTTGTAAGCTATTTATGTTTATCTTATGCAAAAGATGGCCACTGTCATTTGTTTGCCCCAAAGAATATTTTTGTGAATGCCAGTGGGATATGCAAATGTTTACATGACTGAGGCTGCTTTCTGAAGGCTTCTTTTCTTTAGAAATAGAAAGAACTTCCCCCTGTAATTCTGTAGTTATGATTTTAAAAGGAAAAGCAGATGAAAACAAGTTGACTGTTTTATTACTGAATGATCTGTGACTAGGTGAATGTGCTGTAATAACTCTTCTCAAAAATGAAAGAGGCCCTGTAATTCTTCACTGAAAGATGCCAAAGCTGGAGGTGTCATTATACATTCTCTCTTTCTCAACACCCTTGCTCTATCTTTTTTTCTTTATTTTTTTATTGTTTTTGATAAAAACCTTATTTCATCCTCAGCATGTGTCTCTCCTTGGGCGGTACAGAATGCACAGCCCAGAAATGCTCAATGGCAGCAGCAGGCTGGGTACTGCTCTGAGATCTTGAATCAATACCCGACTTTGGTTTTGGGGCAGGAGATGATCTTTACCTTAATGGGCTGAGGCCGCTCCTACTTGAAGGAGGGGAATGAGGGGTGGGCAATGCTCTTTAGTCAAGCCAGGTGAAAGAAACTGGAGCCTCTGCTCCTCCTTACCCACTGAGCTGTGAGGCCCCTCAAAACCTTTTATTTTTTTATATCGCTGGTCACATGGACGTTATTTCCAGGAGCATAAAACAGAATGCTCTTCATTGATCGTTTAGATGTGGTGTTCAGGGGAGATGGTTTAGGGGTGAGCTTTGTAGAGTAGGGTTAATGGTTGGACTCTGTGATCCCAAGGATCTTTTCCAAGCTGAATGATTCTTGACTTCATCACGTGTGTGATGAGAAAAAGATGACAGAGCGTACTACCTTGGGTAACCTCGAACCATCACTTTATGCACCAGCAACGGTTCTGGGAGTTGCATTTTAGGTGTGGTTGTACAGTGCATTTTCAGCAGGTATAGCCACCTGCCTGCGTAAAATTGCTTGAGAATTGGGAACTCGAGTGCTAAACATGGCTGAGAAATGACCTGATCCATAGCAAAGATAAGTAGGTGGCAGGAGTTGAGGGCATTAAAATGTGACGAGGCACGTGGGGCACTTGAAAGCCTTGGCAGCACATGTATTTTGACAGCCTGTGACTACTTTCTCTCTTGGTAATGCAACAGGTGAACTTAAAGGAAGCCAGGAGAGAGTGACAATGTTAGGTGGAAGAAAAATGATATTTTTCTTGGCTTCTCTTGGTGCAGTAATGCAATTAAAACAGGGCAAGTACTGCATTGGGAATTGCTGATCATTTTAACTCTTGAAACACAGAGGACGAAATGCTGGCTTTCAGGATTCTGTGTGGCAGTGTAAAAATATCTGCATATTGATCTTGGGAAACGTTTGCCGTTTAATCCATCTTTTCAGTATGCCCTTGCCTTCAGCTGATACGAGGAAATAATGTGGTATCACCGAATCACATCTCTGTTCGGCGAGGAGGTCCTCGGAGGTTTCTGTCAGGAGGCGAGGAACAAGAGGGGAGCTGGGATGGGGAACCCCCAGCGGTGAAGTCAACTGGGATTAGGGGAACTGGTGCTGGAGAGGGTCCAGCAACCCCCTAAAGCTGGGGTATCTGGTGCTGTGAGCTGCTACAGGTGGCTCTCCCAACACCATGGAGCCCGCTCTGGTTTCTCAGTCTGGGCAGGGGGCTCAGAATTGGCTTCTAAATTTATTCCTAAAATTTATTTTCCATGTTTTTCAGTCTTCCTATTTTCTTCTCTATATAGTAATGCATTACTTCTAGTTTTTAGAATTCATTTTGTTTTAACAGTGCTCTAGAGCAGTCCAGGTCACCTAGTGGGTGGCAAGATGTCTCTTCCAAAAATGAAGCTGTTTATGAGCTGAAGGAAAGGCCAGACATTTAAAACAAGAAAGCTTTTCAGATTTCCTGTGATTTGAAGAATAGGCAAACGTTGTATTTAATTTTACAAAACCAAGTAAGACTTCACAGCAAGTGCCAAGTGTTAGCAGTGAGCCATTGTCCTATTTAACGTCCCTCCCAAAAACCTATTAGTTTAGCGATGGGCTGTGGCACAGTAAGCTGCTAGAATTGACATTTCCCATGTATTTCTAATTGAAAATGGAATTATTATTTCACGTGTTTCAGTGCTAACATCTCCTGTGAACTTCTTTCATAGACTGCAACAAGTTTTAAAATGTACATTGAAAACTGGAACATTCAGACAGCTGCCTGGCTGAAACGGTAAGAGTCGTGAGACTGCGACATGCTTGTGAGACCCCAAACCTGTAGTTGGCTGGGAAAAATGCTGACTGATGAATTTCATAAACATATACAGCCTCTTGTTCCTTCTTTGTTTCCTCTGCCTGTAACAGCTGGGTGGGATGCAAGGGTACTTGGTGCTGTAAAGTTTTATAGCTGCAAATGTAGGATGCCCGCATTTTATATGTGAACAGCAAAGCCATAAATGAGCTGTTCAGATCTTCCGTGATAAAAAGTAATAACATTTTGATGGCGTCTTTTGGGCTGCTGTTTGCCTCTGTCATTCCT